TTTTAAATCAAAGCTGTAAACTAGTTACTAGTAACTACTGCTCTAATTACCGCCAAATATTTTGATAATATTTTCATCAAAATCTCTAGACAATCGCTAATTCTGTCTGTTTAGTTCAAAATTGTCATTTAAGTTAGAGAAAATGACGTCAAGTGAGGTTAACAAAAAAAAACTGACCAGATTTCAAAATTTGGATTGATCAGGTTTACAGAAAACTCAGTATTGCTTTCCCCAGTACACCTTGCAAAATATTCTGTGTTCTGACATAAATAATATAAATTCATTTTGTACATTGTGCTCACAGATATTTCTGATTTTGAACCATGCCTATTATTTATGTTTTCACCACAATAGAGTGAATGTTTCAGATATGGTATTTGTATTTATTTTATTATGTAACTTCTGGGTTTATTTCAAATAATATTGACTTCAGAAGTAATTGACATGAAGCGTTTTCTAGTTTTTATATGAATCCATGTTGTGTATCATATTATGAAGAATAAATTTGAATATTTTAATTCTTGTTATTGTTTGCTGCTGCTTTGTTGTTGTTCTGTGTTATCAGTTATCAGTCGTTTGTCATTGAAGACAATGGGACCTTGATGCACATCATTTTATTTTTTGGATCAAGTTCAAAATGGCCGACTGGCAGCCATTTTGTTTCAAAGAATGCAGTTCAGGATACATATGTCTAACATACATGAACTAATCAAGTGTCACCATCAAATCAAAAATGACTGGCTAGCAGCTGTCTTGTTCTCTCTCTATATATATATTTTTGTTTCTGTACACACAAAGCTTTTATTTCTTCTGATGATAATTTCTAATGGATTTGTGCTAGTTATTTAGCTAGATGTAATTATTATAAACATACTTTGTTTTACTAACATGCAAACTGTTTGTGTAATGAAATGTCTTGTAATAGTTTCTAACTTATACATGCATAGAAATTAGTTAATTTGTGAAAATTAATTTTATTTTGATGATTATCGATCTGGTTATTTTTGTTGAGAAATGCTATTCTTCAAAACTGCAGTTCGAGATTTCGACTGAGATCTGATCAGATTATTGATGGCTGATCTATATACAGCGTCCTCTTAGAGTCGTGTGAATCTTTTGTTTTTACTACTGTATTAGTGTTTCTCGCAAAAGTTGCTCCCTGGAGCCGGGATGAATGTAATATTAGAAATTAATGGCTACTTAATGACAACAATGAAAGCACGTGACAGCTACTTGTACACATTGTATGTTTTAGATCCAAAACATATCTAAATCTGAGAATACCATTTATTTAAGTAGCGCCCTCTAGTGACAGAATGCTCCTGTAACGTCTAAGTGACATACTAATATATGGTGACCGCAATATCGCTTAAATCGAGTTTTGTTGAATAACTGTTCATTATCTGGAACTATAAAGTCAAATCTTTCAAAAACATAATATTCATTATTGAACGACTTACAGATCAAGACAATGCCGACGCTTTGAAGAACCGCCCGCGGGTCAACCATTTACGTCATAAATAATATCGCTTCATTGATAGAGGGCGCAAATTAGTGGACTAATTGACTGAAACAATGGCGTAATTGCTATGAAATGTACAGAAATCCATGAGAAACTGTGATAAATATTTAACTGACATAGCTTCTGGACTTTTAGTCGTTATAATTGTCGATATACGTAAACTGTGTTTACATTAAATGAATGCCGCCACCGACAACTAATCAGAATATATGCATTCCATTATTGCTAAAATTAAATACAAATTAACCAATCAATCCATCAGTAATTTGTACAAAAACAGTGGACCTCCACGAAGTTAGGGAAATCTTATCAAAAGATATGGGACGTTATCTGTTTTGAAGGACACTCATTTTAACAACATCAGGTCGATGGTTCAATGTGTATCTATCTATACTCGTGATCAGTAGACGGCGTTCTTCTTACGCTATCATGTATCGATGGCAAAATTGGTATTAAGTGTGTCATGGTCAAAATATATAACTTATATGCAAACTGCCGCGGTAAGGGGGTGCTCGTGCCAATCAAAGCATGGGCTTTCTGCTAATGTTTTTAATGAGAGTTATAATTCCCATATTTCGTCATAAACAGAATGGTCTCAATTATACAGTTTCACTACAATAGAAGCTTGAAATTCCTTATTTTAATATTTCACGTAGGATCTCAACTTGACATCGTTTTCACAAAAAGCGACCAGGGAAGTAAACTTTCTACATGGCCCTCAGATGTGAACTTGAACCACCACTGTGTGAGTATCCCCTCCCATCTCCGTCGAGCGATCTACCAAAAATATCCATACGCATGCAAACCTTCATTATCCGAATCGGTTTCGCTAAACCCTGCCATACATGACATGATGTTGAAGCTTCGGCGCGAGGGATAGTAAGCAGACCCCCCCCCCATGTAAAATTTCGTGCCGTCTTCTCTGCTTGGCTGACGAAGATGGTAAACCATCAAAAAGTACATAAACCACCGTGAACGGAGACTATTTACCATCTGAACTCTCTAAAGTTATCAGAAGAAAAAAATCGTGACCACGTGGAAATTAAAAGTATTGCTCAATATACAACTTCCACAACTTCAAAAAAAATATGAACTCTCAGCTCCGTAAAAACTAATTTGAACATTTGAAAACAAATCTTTCTCGTTCACAAATAAACCGTGACGTTGATATCTGCATTAACCGCACCTCTATTGCCAATACTACTATCGCAATGACCCGTCACGTCGATAACACTGCCGGGCAACATCTTTATATATGGCCTTAGTCACATATGAACGGTAGATTGTGGCTGCAATATGGAATTAGTCTTGTGTTTGCACTTCGATACATCTATCATCACTATTGTTAGTAATGTGCCCGCATACCTGTAGCCACCACTTCAATTAAAGGGCGGTGGTCACGACGCGTCCTGATCGATATCGACCTGTAATATAACATTGGGGCTTCGAATACAAAATGTTAAGACAAATACAAAAGAACGACAGAATTGGACTTACAGACTAAACTATTAAAAAGATACATCCTCATACAGTAATATTCTAAACCATTGTCATTGGTATTTGAACAAAATAGAAGAAAAAACATAAATTCAAGAATAAACCTCAAGTAAGGAATTAGTTAGATATTATGAAATCAAACAACAAAATTAAGGCAGTAACAGGGATAACACGTGTTAAATATTGATCTGAGATTCAAACTTTCTTTTTTACTGAGCATACTACCATTTCATTCAACCTGTACTTTTTCTGAAAGCCAAGACATTGGCGAATACAGTAGTGCATGAGATGCCATACCAATGTTTGTTTGCTTAAGAAATTACCGGAAGGTCAATTTCGCTATTATGTTTTTTTTTTACTATTCCGACTATAGAAAACATCGTTTTTTAATACTTCCAGTAAGTACGCGAATGACCTTTAAATTGCATGGGACGTTGGTAACGATGTGGACTAGACAACCACGTCTAGGTTTTCCTTTATTTACCCTTGTTCTTCTAGCTTCGACCGAATAACTACACGCATACTACCTGCAACGAATCGTCCAGCATCATAGCGATATTGGCCGTCGGGTGACCTCTTAGACAAATATTGGTTGGGTATACAAACTACTGCATTTGCCTATATCTGAGCCTTCAAATAATAAAATATAATAGTATTTATTTATTGCATCTTTAGAAATACAGTATTTCTATCAGTACAGTAGCAATAAAAGTATAACAAAGTATAATAATAATAATGAAATAATAAAGAAAGAGAAAATATTATAATGTTAAGTATAAAAGTATAATGTAATGTGTTAACATGTTTTAATAATAATAAAACTAAGACTAATAATAATAATAATAATAAAATTCAAAGCTATAAACTATCTATTCTTTCTTGAAAGGCTTTCAGTTGTAAATAAACTGTGAACCCTTTTTTATAATTTCACAATCATCTGCACTTCAAATGCTATATAGATTGCTATAGTTGCATGCTTAGTAACTTTAAACAAATTCTGAATCACAATTCAAACAGAACATCACTTAGAGATGAACCAGTTACCATAGCAACTAGTCATATCTTTGTTCTGAAAATACTAATACAAACATATATACATGAAGTTTTTGAGTTGGTTGAAAAAATGGGCTTTTTCCATAAGCTACTAAAATATAGTGTCAACGGCAAAGTTATTTAATCTATAAAAACGTGTACTTCAATGTCAATGTCATATAATATAAATACTTTATTCTGCCACAAATAGAGAAGTAAAACAAAGCTCTGATGTCATCAGTTCTTCTTTATTTGGTATATTTGAAGATGTATATTGTCAACATTAAAGCGTGAGAGGTCGTCAGCCGCGCATGCGTCAGACGTTGTTATCGTCGCTTGGGACTTAATTCCCGCGCGTGCGCAGGTGACGATCCTTCCGCTTTAACACTGAGCCACCATGATAACTGAATTACATTACATTGTATCAACAATCCAATACACCATTCCAATGCACTTTATACAGCGGATCACATAATCTTATACTGTTTGAACGTAAAGGGCCGTGGTCGTCGCACCGAATCCTGTTCAATATGGTTTTCATCATGCTGAAATTCGAACACGCGCTGCGAGACAACTACCGCCCTTTAAGTGGGTCAACGTAATAACATGAATATTACAGGACACAATTTTAAAAAGAATGAGAACATGTGAACTGTGCCAGATCT